CCCTTTACATGCATAAAAATTTATGTGGAGCCCCAACGGTCCACTGATTGTATGTGTTGTACCTATCAAGGTTTCCAGTTTGTCAGCCTGGCGGAACCCCTGGAGATGTCTCGCAGGGCCCTGGGGCTCCGCAGAGCACAGTTTGAGAAACACTGGCCTACAGCATTAACCTATAAGCTTTCGCTTATCAGTTAATCAACTAGACTATTACATCCCTAGCTTAGACCCCGGGCTCAAGCCTTATTGCTTTGCAGGGTAGGTGCAGCCGATGCTCTCCCTTTATCACAGTGTAGATGTATCAAGTCTCAGAGCCTGCATCAACTGACTCAGGCTCCTGAGGCTCAGGCTCCAGAGCTAAAAAGCTGCAAGCTGGGGCTAGAGTCCACACTGTGAGACCAACCCCTCACACCACAGAGATTTTATCACAATACAGATGTACCAAGGGGGCCCACAATCCTACATGCTGACTTTTTGTCCTCTGGACAGTCACTTCTCCCACACCGTACCACAACCTATGGGCTAGAATGGCCACTCTTTGGGAGGGTATTAGAAGTCTGGGATATAGGCAGTTGGACTTGGGCCTGCCAAGTGAAACAGACTCTGGAGCTCCAACATTCTACCATTCCTAACCTGGAGTTAAAATGGGTATAAACACTGAAACCTTAGGTTAACAATCCTAAAGCCTGCTAATTCCAGTTCTACTTACTCCCAGAGAGAACTAGCAAAAGCACCATTAGTTCAGGAGATTTCAAACTAGACTGTATAAAGAAGAGACTGAAGGTAGAAATTAGATACTCATATAGCATGGACTTGAGGAGCTACAAGGCCTCCCCAACTTCCTCCTTTTCTTAAAGGACAGGCAAATGCTCAAGCATCCAATTTGACAGTCACAATTAACAAAAGCAAACTGCACTGAGGCCACCCCAGAAGGAAGAAGAACTAGCCTAAATACCAGGAGCCCTTGAAGCACTAGTGCCCTGGAAATAAACATTCAATCACTAACCTCACACTAATATGTCATCAGTGTAACCTCTACTTATGTTTGGTGAGGTCCATAGGATTCCAGCTGAGACACTAACACACAGTCCGGAGTGGATTCTGGCAATCAGCCCCCTTGATATGATCAATCCATGAGGCAACCTGATAACGTATGGTACACCAGGTTAACCCCTCTATCCAGCCCCCCTGTTTAGAAGAGAAGGTCTCTTTTTGCTCCCTTCAGCAAAAGAAATATTTATCACTTTGTCCCTCTGAGATCTCCTGTTGCAATGCATTTTTAATGGAGTTAAATTGTAAGAAGAAGATCAGAAGCACCTCAGGGCTGAAGGAGTGTATCCATGAATTTCTAATATGCCTGTCTTCACACTACCAGGGGCTAATTACAAGGATTAGTGGAACCATCAGCAATGCCCCACCAGGAGCATGTTGGAGGCTGAGTCGGCAGACCAGCCCTGGACATTAAATACACACTATGTGGTTCTCCTTGCACAGGTTTGCTCACCAGAACTAAAATACAACAAGGCCCCGTTTTCCCTCCACAAGTGTCTCTACTGTTCAATAGTAATAGAAATGTAGCATGTTAGTCTGGTGTAGCTGAAGCAAAATACAGGACAATGTAGCACTTTAAAAGACTAACAAGATGGTTTATTAGATGATGAGCTTTCGTGGGCCAGACCCACTTCCTCAGATCAAGTGTCTCTACTGTTAAGGGTTATAAGCTGCTGGCGCATGTGGCGGGCTGACCAGGGGGAGGAGAGAGAAGCATCGGTGCTGTATTATCCCCCCGCTTCTGATAAAAAAAAAACTCCACATTAATAACAGGGGCAGATATGAGGGCCCAGCATGAACTGGGACAGGAGCATTCAGGTCCCAAGCAGCGGGGGAGACGGGACGGAACCAGCGCAACCCACCTCTGCAGCGTCTAGGGAGCACGGGCAGGGAGCAGGAGCACAGGGAGCTCGACAAG